CTTGTGGCGCCCGCCGGCTTGTGGCATGAGCGCAGTGACGGGCTGACGCTCCTCACTGCGCACGCGCCACAAGCTGACCCTGGGCTGACTCTGCCCTTGGAGGGGGGCAGGGCAGGGAGGTGCTTAGTAGCCCCTCCCCCCCAGCAGTGCTGCAGCACCCTGGGGTGACCTGAGGTCCTTTCAAGGGGGTCGTGCAATGTCTGCACATGTGCGACGCGCCCCGAGCTTTCCAACAGGAGTCTGGGGCGCTCGATGCCTCCAGCTCCGCGGAGCTGCCTTGAGCTCTGTGCTCTGGTATCGTTCTGGAGCAAAACCCCCCCCAAAACTAAAACGTGACTTTTCCAAGGTGGGGCCACGAGCCTAACCCTGAGCCTACGAAGCTTAGCAACTACTGGACTGAATCGGAGATGGATCAACTAAAAGCAAAGCCACGCGTCATAACCCGAAAACACGTTATCTCGTTTAAAAAAGGCCCTCACGTGATCACTGCGAAATGTCACGTCAGGGAAATAAAGGACAACGCGCACGTGGGGGGTTTCGCTTCGGGCGAGGACCTCAGGGCCTTGCCGCGCGTTCGGCATCAAGCTGGGTAGCAACGAGACATGGAGTTGTTAGATACTTTCAAGCACCAAGTTCATCGTGGGGAGGCTCTTTTTATACCTGGAGAGCCATTTTTACGGTGTGACGATGACTTTGCACAGTCTATGTTTATGACGTGACTGACCGGGGAATTGCGTGATGTAAGTGACGTGTAGCGGGGCGTTACGCTAACGTTTCATGCGCACGATTTAAGAGGAAGTGCTGTTGCACACATCATTCGGCAACCTTTTTCATCTAATATTTAAGCGGAGCCCCTTCCTGCTCTCCTATGTACCAACAATATTGAAACGCACCAAAAACATTGAAAACTTGAGCCCAGCGCCTCCTTTCATTCACCAGAACACGTACTATGGGTTGGGGAGCAGAGGAGGGGTTGTTTGTTTGTTAAGAGAAAAGCCTCAATAATTTTGCATATCTGGGTCTTTTACTTCATGAAAACCCATTGTCTTTCAGTATCTAATGGCCATTATTTCATTCCAAGCATATGCAAAAACTTATTTTCATTCTGAAAATACACCAAATTTATATTCCGCATCATTAGAGTTAAGATTACAGTAGAGGAGGAATTGTTCAAATTCCAAAAAATGCTATATTCATCTAAAATACTTACCACCTTTGCCACTTAAAAATATTAATCTTCCTCCTTAAAAATACTCAAGAAGGCAGGTTTTATCCTTCTTTTAAAAATGAAGAAAATAGAGGTGGAGAGAAAGACAAACTTCTCTGGTCAGTGGAATATAGATGCAAGCATGAAAAACTTCCTTTGTCCAAAGCCCTGCCAGCTGTAGGTGGTATTGGAACTCAGAGGTTTCTTAACTACTCAAATTGGCCTATGGTTAGCTAAGCTTATATTTTTGAGACGTGGTAAATGGATTACCAATTTTAAAAAAGAAATTTAAGGGTTAATTACAAAGTCGGGAGCACTGACTTCAGTTAAAAGTTACCAGACACTTCTAGACAGACAAGGTTCTTTTGGTAAATCCGGTATCTTTTATTAGACCAACTCAAATAGTTGGAAAAATTCTTCTGAGCAAGCTTTTGGGTACAAACACCCTTCGTCAGGCTGAGGAAGCATCTCCAGATGGTCTGTGCTCTAGACACTTCTAAGGACTTTTCAGTTCCTTAAAACATTCCAGACTACACACACTGAAAGTTCCCTATTCTCAGTGTCTTTTAAGTTCAGCCATTTCCAAGAAAGAATTTTAGAGATCAAATATGTTGTTCATCTATGCTGAAAACCTTTTACACCTTTTTTTTTTGGTTAAGTTCTACCTCTTCAGTACTTTAGAACAAGGATGCGGGAGCTGGGGGTGGAAGGGTCAGGCAATCACACGGTGTTCAGAATATGCTCTTGCTGTCCTGATGAAAAAGTTGCCCAAGTTTTGCTGTAAGCATTCTAAAAATCTAAGAGTCCAATGAGTCACCTAGGATCAGACTTAAGTGTTAAATGATCTTACCTGCAACTAAAGTGAATAGGAGCTGCATTTGAACATATGATATAGAATACAAACGCTAAGTACTCTGAAAAAAAAGTCAGGGCACAGGCATCTCAAGCTGTCATCCACAATTAAAGGACATTTGATATTTCTGGCCAAACATACTAACCCATAGTTCCCCAGTAAGGTAGTGGGAGGTTCTCCATTTATAAGGGGCGCTGTGAAGATATATTCAGTAATGTTTCCTGAACATCCAGCATGGCAAAAGAATTACAGAAATATCCATGAGAAAATAAAATGTATATTCCATTTACTACGTGGAACCTATCGATGAGATCAAGACTTCTATGAATTTAAAGGGTAAAAGAGAAATACAAAATAAAGACGAGTTTATTCAAATCGAGCTGAGGCCATACACAGGCATATATCACAAAGGATAGAAGAGAAACACGAGGCATGTCACAGAATCATAGAAAATGAGAGTTGGAAGGGACCTCAGGAGGTCACATCTGGTTCAACCCCTTGCTCAAAGCAGAACCAGCCCCAACTACATCATCCCAGCCAAGGCTTTGTCTAGCCCAGTTTTGAAAACTTCCAAGGATGGAGCTTCCACCACCTATCTGGGTAACCTGTTCCAGTGTTTGACTAGCCTCCTAGTGAGAACATTCTTTCCAATATCTAACCTAAGCCTCCCTTGCTGCAACTTGAGCCCATTGCTCCTTGTTCTGTCATCTGCCCCCACTGAGAACAGTCCAGCTCCATCCTCTTTGCAGCCCCCTGCAGGGAGTTGAAGGCTGCTACTAAATCCCTCCTTGGTCTTCTCTTCTGCAGACTAAATAATCCCACTTCCCTCAGCCTGTCCTCATAAGCCATGTCCCCCAGACCCTGATCCATTTGTCTTGCACTCCACTGGACTCTCTCCAATGGGTCCACATCCTTTCTGTAGTGGGGGGTGGGGAGCAAAACTGAACACAGGACTTGAGATGTGGCCATACCAGTGAATAGAGGGGAAGAATCACTTCCCTTGATCTGCTGGCCACACTCCTACCAATGCAGCCCAGGACGCCGTTAGCCTTTTTGGCAACAAGGGCACACTGCTAGCTCATATTTAGCTTATTGTCCACTATCACCCCCAGGTCCTTTTCTGCAGAGCTGCTGCCCAGCCAGTCAGCCCCCAGCCTGGACTGGTGCATGGGATTGCTTTGTCCTAAGGGCAGGACTTTGCACTTGTCCCTGTTGAACCTCATGAGATTTCTTTTGGTCCAATCCTCCAATCTGCCTATGTCACTCCGAATCCTAGCCCTACCCTCCAGTGTATCTCCTACTCCCCTCAGCTTGGTGTTATCTGCAAACTTGCTGAGGGTGCACTCTATACCATCTTCCAGATCATTGATGAAGACATTGAACAAAACCAGCCCTAGGACCAACCTCTGGGGCACTCTACTCGATACCAGCTGCCAATTAGACATTGAACCATTGATTACTACCCTCTAAGCCCAATGCGACAGCCAGTTTTCTATCCACCTTACAGTCCATTTATCCAACCCATGCTTCCTTAGCTTTTCCTGCGAGAATGTTGTTGGAGACCGTATCAAAAGCCTTGCTAAAAATCAAGGCACACCACATCCACTGGTCTCCCTGCATCCACAGAGCCAGTCACCTTGTCATTGAAGGCAATCAGATTGGTCCGGCATGACTTGCCCTTGGTGAATCCATGCTGACTGTTCCTAATCACCTTCTTCTCCCCCAAGTGCTTAGAGGATTCCTTGAGGATCTGCTCCACGATTTTTCCAGGGACTGAGGTGTGGCTGACTGGTCTGTAGGTCCCTGGATCCTCCTTTTCCCTTTTCTTAAATATGGGCACTATGTTTGCCCTTTTTCAATCATCCGTGGCCTCTTCTGATCACCATGAGTTTTCAAAGATGATGGCCAATGGCTCTACAATCACATCAGCCAACTCCCTCAGCACCCTCAGCTGCATCCTGTTTGGCTCCATGGACTTGTATATGTCCAGCTTTTCTAAATAGTCCCGAACCTGTTATTTCGCCACTGTTGGCTGCTCACCTCCTCCCCAAACTGTGCTGCCCAGTCCA